TGAATGTATGTAGAAGAAGTGATAGTTCTCCAAATCGTTAAGGAGGTATTTAGTAGTTCGACGAGGCGTCGTCCACTGCACTTCCGTCTGCTTTCAGGGTTACGTGACATCTTGAACTTTTGTGGATGGTCCTTGCGAAAGGTCTACGGACAACTTGAACTCAATCCCTTTGAACGCGTCGATCTTCTCTTTTTCTCTGCACTCTCTCGTCCGCATGGCACTCTATGGCCGTTGTGACTTCGCTCACTCCAGCTTTTCACCGACTATAAGTAGCTCACCCACCCCGGAGTCCCCTCCCCTTGAAAAATCCCGTTTCCTGGCTCGCCATACGTTTTTTGCACGTTTCGATGCTTTGGCAGCCGCTGCCCTACGTGACATCTTGAACTTTTGTGCATGGTCCTGTTACGAAACCCTGTGACGCAGACGGATAGAGGGCAGCGGCTGCCAAAGCATCGAAACGTGCAAAAAACGTATGGCGAGCCAGGAAACGGGATTTTTCAAGGGGAGGGGACTCCGGGGTGGGTGAGCTACTTATCGTACGTGAAAAGCTAGAATGTGCAAAGTACCAATGACCATAGAGTGCCACTCGGGCGAGAGAGAGAGAGAGAGCAGAGAAAAACACGAATTTGATGCGTTCAAAGGAATTTCAGTTTTCCGTAGACCCTGCTTTTCAGTCCCCCTATCCATTTTTGTTGCCCACTTTTCCTGCTCTATTGCTTATTTGGGCTTAATTACGCAATTCTGTTTCAAGCCACGTCCACAGCAGATGTACCTCCCTCAACCGTTCACCCCTTGACTCCCTCTCGTTTCCCACTTTTTTCCGTTCTCCGGCTCTTTTGGAGCCGGATTACATATTTTTATGTTTTGCAGCAAGCACCGCCTACTTATAGCACGCCCCGCCCATAATGGGTGTACCTCCCTCATTTCGCCCGCCAACCGACTGCCTATCTTTTGCCACATTTTCCGCTCTCGGAGTTCTTTTTCAGTCGAACTACGAATACGAAGAAAATTATGAATTTTTGAAGTACGTCGCAACTGTGCGCACGCCCCGCCTACAGTGGGCAGGGCATAGCTTGGTTTATGTTTCGTACATATTGCTCCATATTGCTCCACGCCCTACCCATCCCACCCTTGACCCGGTCTCTCAAACCCGCTCTTCAGGTAATGGCGAATTAACAGACACACACAGACATACAGACAGAGACAGACAGACGTTGCCGTTTATAGTAAGTAGGATCATGCAGCCACAAAATCGCAACCTATGCGGTTCAGCGAATCAGTTCACTGTTTTGCACAGAGAAAAAAATTTAATAACAGCTACAAAAGCCATTACCTCGAGTTTTAAGGGATTCCTCTTCAATACTCGCATTAGTTTTAGTCCTCTATGCTTTCGAGTACCGACCTGTAGCACGATAACTTCATCGAATTCTGAAAACATCAAAACCAGCTAATTTCACTTATTCTGGTTTAGTTTTGACTACTTAATTAGCTTACTATTACTTAGTTATGTGTACTGCTGTGACCTAATTTGTGCTTTGCAACCCGTCTAGGTTCTCTGACATCACTTATGAGTGCATGATTAGAAAAAAATATATATATATATGATTGAATAGACAAATGAAAAAGGAAATAAATTCAGCTTTTACTCGGGTACGTGGTAAGAGAATCGTATCGTCGCGCCCGCTAATGACGACGATTTTAGGTGCCATTGGTCGAGAATAGACAATGTTATGACCAAGCGTACATAAGGAGTCTATGATGCCTGTGTGCTACAATGAACACCGATTATCCTCCAATCGAAAGAGTAGTGTAAAACAAGGAAACGTCGCGCCCATTGCCGCGCGCGACGAAGCGGCATTTTACGGATTCTCTTGCACGTCTCGCCCGTCTCTAGACGAGCATGTGAAAATTCTGCTATTGAATAATAAAATAGATTATTGGCATATTTACTAACAACGGAAGGATACGTAACTCTCCTGGCCATTCAGAATAGAATGTATACTCCTGGAAGGCGTCTTTCGTACTGCTAGATAGGCAAAATCTGGCTTCTAAATCTGCATAAAACGATCTGGCCGAGGTGAGGGGAGGGTTTGAACCGGGCGGGGGGACCTTTTTTTGCTACTGTGCTTAACCATTGCGGTGCGCCCCCTGCTTATGCTTCGCGCTTGTAAACCCTTCGTGACCCAACCGCCATCGTGGCTCGGTGGCGCAGTAGGTAAGTGGAATGGCAACTTGCCTAAGTCGCGGCGTATGGGCGGCTTCGAGTCCTTGATGCGTTTGGCGTAGTTTTGTTTTTCTTGAATCTGCTCAACACTTGGGAAGTAGTTTTGCATAACTGTACGACCACCAAGACAACTCCCTGCTCTTTATTGAGCCCCGCGAACGATTTTCGTGAAAAATTACAACTATTCTGCCAAACTCGTGCATTCAAGGGACCAAGATTACACATGCCAGATTCTGCCTGACATGACGTGATCTGCGAAATTTCACCATCCTATAAAATGACGTGTGTGGGCAACGAAAGTTTCAACATGTTCGGTAGCTCTAATCACCCACGCACACAATATCAGCCAACACCTCTGCGACCGTGCCTACCATAACTAAAGTTTATATTAGGCCCCCTAGTTTGACTACTCCTACCCCAGAAAGCTCAAAAAATTTTTCTCGCTGAAACGTTGTCTACAGATGCAATTCTATGCCCTGATCACGGTTTTAACCCTCGTTTTGAGCGCTGGCGTCATTTGGCGCCATTATGCACCAATTTGGCGCCCACCACTTTTTTCCTGCAAAGTTGATGTAAACTTGCATATGGGTTAATTTGAAGGCTCCTGCATTAAAGAATATCACACTACAGGTTTCCAGAGTTGGCGCGATTTGGCGCCATGATGCGCCAATATGGCGCCAAAATTGGCGTATAATGGCGCCAAATCGCACCAGCGCCTAGCGCGAATGCTGGTTCCGTAATCAGGAGCTCAATTAACCCCCATATGCAAGTTTTCATCGACTTTGGTGAAAAAATGGTGGGCGCCAACTTGGCGCAGAATGGCGCCAAATGACTCCAGCGCTCGAAACGAATGTGATATTCGTGATCTGGGCATCGAATTACACCTATAGGCAACGTTTCAGCGAAAAAGGTTTTTTTGAGTTTTCTGGGGTACGAGTGAGTGTCAATGTCAATTACAGGTTGTCGACACACTGTACAACAACAACTTGAATAATGACTGCAGAGGAGATAGCTCGTAGAAGAGCGATAATATACGGATTCCTCTCTGATTACGGTGATGCGCCGATTGAAAGACAACGTTCCCTTAGGAGCTATAAGAACAGCCTATGTCTGTCACTTCTCGGGATGTTAAACGCGTCCCCGGCTACGAGAAGGTAGTTCGCTTTACATTAGCCCACTTATGGACTTCACTCATATAACAGTACATTATCAAGTATGCGTGTGTGTTGAAGTGAATGAGCCATGCTCTCTACGCTTCGATGTGCGAAAAAGTCGCATTAGCATAACAAACGTCTATGCAAAATGAATGCGTTTCACTGAAGTCAAAATGAAAAACCCCTCTCAAAATTCAGACATAGGGTCTAATAAGCAGCAGGGAGGGGTCTTGGTGGTCGTACAGGTATGCAAAACTACTTCCCAAGTGTTGAGCGCACGTTTCAAGAAAAAGCAAAACTACGAAACGCATCAAGGACTCGAACCCCCATCGCACGACTGTGAGTCCATCCACTTACCTACTGCGCCACCGAGCCACGGTGGCGGTTGGGTCACGAAGGGTTTACAAGCGCGAAGCATAAGCAGGGGGGCGCACCGCAATGGTTAAGCACAGTAGCAAAAAAGGTCCGTAACTCCTCACCCAGAATCGTTTAGCAGATTTGGAAGCCAGATTTGATATCAGCGTCCGAAGACGCTTCTAGGAGTATACATCTCATTCTGAATGGCCAGGACGAGTTGGTATCCTTCCCTTGTGAGCATGCAGTACGTCCGTGGGCGTTGCCAACACTCCATAGTCATTGATTTCGATGCAAACGTTGCGGGGCTGTCAAGGTGGACTAGGCTCATCACGCACCGGACGTTTCCCACTGCACGTCGTCGGTTTTTGGAAGAAGACAGAGGGTCCTTACATCCTCGTGTTGGCCGAGGTCACATAAAAATGACAGTCCGTGAGAGACATACTCAAAACATCATGCTCCCAAGCAGCAGCACTGTAGCATGAAAAAAACTGTGAAGTCACTATCGAAGTGGCACTTCTGCTACACGCCCAAACACACTCAAAATGCCTCTTCGATCTCTGAGGGCGTATAGTCAAAACATTCGGATGGCGGCGAAATGGATTTCGTTGTTGCTCTCAGGCATTTATGCTACCAGAATGATTCAACGGTCGGTGAATGACTGCAAACTGTCAATTCACGCAGTCTCAGCTACTTTGTGCGCAGACGCAAGGCAGGCCACGCTCCTGCTTTGGGGAGTTTCTGCAAAGCACTACCTCCGGTCCCCCTCGCAAATCCTGCCTTTGCTACAGACCCCCCCCCCTTCCTCGAACTCCAACCTACAACGCTTTTCAAACTAAGCACCTTGCAAACATTTACCGACTTCCTATAACCTCTCCGAATTCGTTTTTTTCGGTGACCCCAAATTTTCCCCCAAAGAACTGCCTTCGAGGGTATTGGGGGGGGGGGATGGGAGAGGGAAAGAGATAGGGAGCGATATACAGCGCATTCGAAATAAGAAAGATGAGAGAAGTGGACACCAAAACATTTTTCCCCAAGCAAGTAGGACCCCCTTCCTTCCCGCGACAAAGTGGACTCCCTACTGGGGATTCCGACCGTACGACGTACCCTGAGCAGCAACTAGGCTTTCTCGACCCTATTCCAGTTGCGTCGCTCCGCTTGTTAAAGGCGGAGATAAGCAGGTGCTTCGACCTATCAGATCGCTCCTTTGTGGGAAGTATAAAGGCTAATAAAATGACAAAATAAACCCATCCGGCAAAGGAGAGTTATCAAATCGAATGGAAAATCCAAAGAAAACAAACAAAAACGCGGATCTCTGACAGTGACAGAGAAAACATACGCGGATTCTGTGTCCCAGAAACATATTTCGTTTTACCGCTTTGAATCGCATCTGACGGATAAGGAAATGTGTATTTGACAAATAGGTTAGCATCGGAGGGCTCGTATCCGGAAGGAAGGGGTACGTCCCTAAACACAAGGTCTGAGAACACTAAATAACGTGTGAGACTCAAAAATCGAGTGAACATTTTAAATCGCCCTTACCGACAGCGAATAATTGAAAGTTCTAAAACATCCTCGGCGAGATCGGGAAAGAGATCGGCACATGGAATGTGTCGCGACTCATAATGGAATCTAAAAATTGGAAAATGCACTCGCCAAGAAAATAAAATAGGTCAGGACTTATAGAAATTACAAACTTGGGTAAATTTAATCCCTGCTTGGCCACTTCACGAACGAGCAACAAGTCCTGCTTTGAAGCCTTCGCCCACTCCTCGAACATTTTCACCTGAAGTCAGTTTTTCCTAATAAAATAATGTAAAGGAACAAGTGCCACATGCAGTATTGTTCGTACGAATGGTGGGGCGTTCTAGAGGACCGGCTTTCGCGTGGATGCCAGCTCTTTCACTACCAACTGTAGAAGCCTACAGGCGCACAACTGGTGGAAAACTGGCTTGCGCCGCGCCAAACCCAGTCTCCCCCTCCGGAACGCCCCAGCGTCCGCAGCGGCCAAGAATGTGCTTCTGTTGCCGAAACTATTGAGCCCATGACTGTACGACTCAGGAGAGTAGTAGTTACTGAAGTACCTTTCTCCAAAGTGAGGTTCGACAGCACTGAACCAGTTACGAAAAGAAGAGTTTCAAATAATGTAAAATGAAATTGATCTCATAAACAATACGCCCTAGTTCAGTACTTGACGAAGGACAATTCCTGCCTAACCGACGGTTTCCTCTTTCCTACATTTAACGAGTTTACTCGGAAACCAGTTGAAGACACATTTGCGACCATCCGTTGAATTAAATCCTCTTCGCGTACGCTGTATGGAAGTCTGCATCCAAAGAGTGTACCACTTCAGTACTCGAAAACGCTGATGCCGTTTGGACGCAAGCAATTTTGGCACCGAGCTCGCTTTTAAAGTGCCAATCCGCTGGAAACTTGTATACATGGGTAATTTAACATCCTGATTACGAATATGACATTCATTCTTGGCGCTGGCGCTAATGGATGACACTACGATTATCTGCGCTCTGCTAAGGCTGAGCCCAGGAGGTAATCGTAGTGTCCTCTCTTGGCGCCAGCGCCAAGAATGAGTGTCATATTCGTAATCAGGATGTTAAATTACCCATGTACAAGTTTTCAGCGGATTTGGTGATCTTGGCACTTTATAAAATGAGCTCGGTGCCAAAATTGCGTGCGTCCAAACGGCATTAGCCCTCGAAAAAGTATTGAAAGATTCCCCGAAGCCTGCTACCTGTGTCTGGCTACGCCCTCTTTACTCCGACCCCCCCCCTCACATAAAACAGCAGCATGATGGGTGCGGCTCGATGTAAAGGTCGGTGATCCAACAAATGTGTGCACTAGTTGCAAATCTGCAGCTATGTGCCTCTATTTGGTATTTAGTTTAGGCGGCTTATAGTGTAGTTCGCTGCGGACGGTTGGGCGTGTCAGTGCGGCTGCGTTTGGCGCGGTGCCAAACTCGTTCTACACCAGTTGTTGAAGCGGGCAAGTGACAATACTGTATCATATCCTTCGTATTACTCGTTTTCTACCACTTTTTGTCGCTCTTCAACAAGAAGGCAGAGAACGGCTCTGATAGGGTGGCACACTCATACTGGCTGACACGCCCAACCGTCCGCAGAGAACTAGAGTGTATGTCCATTGCGTCTCTCGCATTCCTACACTTTCGCTCATGCTGTGAATCGAAAGGGCCTTCCTTGGATAGTTTCTGCTTGCTTTGTTTCTCTTTTTCTCCAGCTCATTTCTCCACCAAGAAAGCCACCTTTTCATTTACGCTCGGCTACATAATTTTTCATCAGCGGAACGTGTCTTTACGAAAAAACCAGCAAAATTCCCAAAATGCCACTAGGAATATTCTCTACTCTTCCTGCAATTTTGAAATCGTGCTCAAAGCAAAATCACTGAAAAAATAGCCAACCTTTCCAACATCTCCTAACCGAGTGAAACGCATCCGGCTATTTTCCGCCAGTTGAACTTGCTCGATGAGAGCCTTTTCCATCATCGACAGTGCTTCACCTCGGCCTGGAATACCGATTCATTTTCAAGTCATGGGTGTATATAGAAATACTGCTTAAGGCTTACCCAGCTCTATTAGTTAACATTTTAACAAAGTATTAGGTTGGCGGGAAAGTTCTGTCACATTTTTTCAAATTAGACTTTCTTTTTACAGAGAGGCGTACAAGATCAAAATTATACAGCAATGTTATTGAGAGATCCTTGCCAGTTTTTGGACAGTTCGTGGATGCCATCGCTTAACAATGCACGCCGGCGCGACGCAAAGTTGGACATCATCTCAACTTTGACTTGGGCTCAAGTCGTGGAGGTTTTCTCGGCTGTATAACGGTTGAATACGGGAGGCGACTAGCAGTCAGAAAGAGCAATGTCTGGACTACACCGGTGCAAGGGGAGAGCCATCCAGCTCTATTGCATGAAGTACGGCTCGAACTTTTTTTGACGGGGTGTGCTGCACCAGCACGTTGAAGACGGACTGTGCCGATGGATTTTGCCCTCTGCTTGACGATTCGCTTCAGATCTCGTAGCTGCCTTGCGTACGGATTGACCGAGGAGGCAGCTTCTTCATCCAGTAGTTTCCCGACCCACCGCTATCTAGAGCTGAGTTTACAGGTACTCCCGAACCTCACTTCGTCATTCGAACCGTAGGCTCCCGCTCTGAAGAGCTAGCGTCGTGGAAGATTGTCTGATGACTGTAGACATTGTCCTTGTGCAGCTCCATTATTTCGGCGTCGATGTCTATGACAACCCCGATCCCGGGCGCGTCGACAGCTGCCATGCTGGCGCCAGGGTGGTAGAAGAAATAGTTTAAGGAAGCGCTTGAAGGGGTCGGTGCTGAAGGTAGCGGATAACATTCTTGTCCATAATGCAGAATAAGGATGAGCAGGAGCCAGTGACACTAATAGAAAGATCAATCCTTAATGTATAAATGCTCACATTAGCCCTCTTCAGGTAATAGGCGAATACTTGGGTTCAAAAAAGTATGACAGAACTTTCCCGCCAACCTAATAGTTAACTTACAGAGATGGAGTTATACCATTTTCACTTTGAATTCACCACTTTTCAAACCAAATTCACCACTTTTCAAACCAAATTCACCACTTTCAAACCAAATTCACCACTTTTCAAACCAAATTCACCACTCTTCTTAGACCAGGCAGTTCACCAACCAAATCACGCCAGACACCACCGCGAACCCTGCCCCGACGGTCACGCCTACTTGTCAGCGCGGACATAGATTTTCAACACATGACTGACTCCGCCATTCTTTAAAGTTTGTTGCGAACTTCAAATCTTCATAACTTTTTCAATTTTCAATTTCACATCCACTCACGACGAAGGTACTCGTAGACGCGCATTCATGCACCGGCAATTTAGGCTCCGCCCCTTTGGCCACGCCCACTTGCTTTTTGCGGAATTTGATATTTTTTCAAAATTTTTGCATTTTTGGACTGCCCCGTGAAGCCCCGCCCACTGTGAGAGGCTCCGCCCACTTCGGAGAAGCCCCGCCCACTTTTCAAAATGGTGCAAATCGGCAGTATAGAGCCTTGGCTTGCATGCTAGGGTCTCGTCCGTCACTCGGAACAAATAAATCAGGCAAAGTTTGTTCCTAATGACCAGCAATACCCTTGCCATGCAAGCCAAGGCTCTATACTGCCGATCTGCACCATTTTTGAAAAGTGGGCGGGGCTTCAAAGTGGGCGGAGCCTCTCACAGTGGGCGGGGCTTCACGGGGCAGTCCAAAAATGCAAAAATTTTGAAAAAATATCATAATTCCGCAAACAGCAAGTGGGCGTGGCCAAAGGGGCGGAGCCTAAATTGCCGGTGCATGAATGCGCGTCTACGAGTACCTTCGTTGTGAAGAGTGGATGTGAAATTAAAGACAGCTCCCGCGATAAAAGTGTCAAGGATAATTGCTGATCAATTATGAAACAGTAGCTGATAAGTAATTCCTCAATGAAGGAAAAAGCAACACTCAAGAACACCACAAAAGAAATTGTGCTCCTTCACAGCTACACCTTCCTGCGGTCTCATGTGCAATTCCTGTGCTCACAGCTGTCGATCAATGCAATGAAAAGAATACGAAAAACAACAAAAACACGGAAGAAAAACTCTTGAAAATGAAAAGAAACTCACAAAAACTGGGCGTCTGAATTTAGGGTATGCGGGGTAGCGTCGCATCTTTTAGTGTAGTGTAGCTGCTGTCGATGCTTGTCTGCCACTACAGACAAATTGCGGTCGCTTTTGATTTTTACGGCCTGTTTACCTTTCTCAGATGGTGTTGGAGTTGACTGTTAATGTGCGTTGGAGTTGGACTTTATTGATCTGATGTAATGAGATTTTATAAGATTAGAAGCGGAACAGTTCATGGCACAGAAAGTGGCTCAGCAAAAGCGCTCTGGCAATGTCCGATTAATGCCGGCGGCCGCCCCAACAAAGAACAACTGAGCGGCCCTCGGAGGGCATCTAGCAGGTGGGTGGTCCAACTGAGCGGGCGTTAGAATTAGCACTTTCAGCGGCTGTAGCTCGCTCCTCGCTATATGTTTGATGGAGTCGCGAGTGTGGGACAGTCTCTAGCTTGGCCGCTGTGCTACTTGCACAAGGAAGGATGACCATGTACTACTTGAGCGCGGGGGCTGTCTTTAAAGGCAGCGCCCGCATTCAAATTTGAAGAGTATGCGGCTCAGGTAGTAATATCAAGGTAGCAAGAAATCTATTAGTGAAAGAAAATCAAAAGAAATGCAAGCAAAATGCCCTATATTTGGATGTTTCATAACCGAATAAAAGCCATAAAAAAATAAGAAGGTGGACGTGCTTAAGGCGAAGAGAAGGAGTGGTTGCACGAGTTCTCACTTGTTGATTTCAGCTGTTTCCCCTTATCACCTCACTCTCACCACACGACGTGGAGAGAAGCAGCAATGGAACAACCGGCACCATCAGGGCACCATTAGAATGGAAGTTGGGCGTCGTGGTCGCAGTGTGCCGGCGGGGCGGTCGGCCTGCTTTACTAGCCCACGCTATCCTCTCATCCTTTTGGATGCAAGCACACTAGTATCATACCTGCATCCTTGATGGGAGGGCTATGATACCCGCCAGAAGGGCGTTAGGAACATCAAAGTGAAAGCGTAGGCTCGCTGCCTTTAAACATTGGAAAGAAAGTTATGAAGATTTGTAAGTTCGCAACAAGACTTTAAAGAATGGGCCGGAGTCAGCCACGCCGCCGGTGTTTAAAGTCTATGTCCGCCGCTGACCAAGTAGCGCCGTGACCGTCAGGGAGGGTTTCGCGGCGGTGGTGTCCGGCGTGATTTGGTTGGTGAACTGCCTGGTCTAAGAAGAGTGGTGAATTTGGTTTGAAAAGTGGTGAATTTGCTTTGAAAAGTGGTGAATTTGGTTTGAAAAGTGGTGAATTTGGTTTGAAAAGTGGTGAATTTGGTTTGAAAAGTGGTGAATTCAAAGTGAAAATGGTATATATCCAATTTTCGTGATGTCACATTAGACTTCCTATCTTGACCTTCTTGATTAAATATTAGGTTGGCGGGAAAGTTCTGTCACATTTTTCAAAATGAAAATGGGCTTTCTTTTTATAGAGAGGCGTGTAAAAAATTGTACAGCAATGTTACTGCGGGGTCCTTGCCAGTTTTTGAGCACCTCATGGATGCCATCGCTTCACAATGCAGGGAGGCGCGACGCAAAGTTGGACACCATCTCAATCTTGACTTGAACTCGGGTTATGGAGGTTTTCTCGTCCACATAACGATTGAGTACGGGAGGCAACTTGCAGTTAGAAGGAGCAATGTCTGTGCTACACCAGTGCAAGGGGAGAGCCATCCAGCTCTGCATGAGGTACGGCTCGAACTTTTTTGGACGGAGTGCGCTGCACTATCATGATGAGGGCGGGCTGTGCGGACAAAGTTTT